GGGAAGATACTTGGCATCTTCAAACACTTGATGTGACCGAAACATCATAGTCACCCACTGGACTTCTAGCCAGAAGATTATCCGCTGATACTTAAGCCTGCCATTTTTATTTTTATTTTGTTACTCTGAAATTGGAGGGTTTGTCCAGCGTATTAAAACGGAACATGGTTGGGTTCCTTGGCTTTGATTTAGTGCATTGTCAAGTCATTATAATTTGTAAACAATGATGGAAGGTTGTTTATGTGTTGTGTGACTGCAGCCATTCAATAAATCTTGGCTTGGTTGATCTATAAATTCAGGCAATTATGGATAATCTTTCTATGTACCATGTGGCCTTCACTCTGGTTGATATGTTGCCTGTGATTATTAACCTATGATCTGCTTGATTATGATTTGTGGAGGAAGACAGAATTGGTTCAGTTTTCCAAACACTAAGTCATAACTCGGAGTTTATGAGCTACGGTGGCTAAGCTCTACAGTTCACTGAGCCCAAATCAAAAAAATCATATTGGCTTGGTGGCATACAAAGCATTGAGGGCTGATAGGCTGGCATCTCCTCTATATTTTTGGATGTTGGGTTTTCGAGCCAATATTTGTTCTTGTTTCATGTCTGTTTCTGTCGTTCCTGGTGACTGGCTATTAAGAACATTTCTTGGACTCGTTTTGTAGTGAGTCAAGTTTTTTATTCAACTTTCTTGGAGAGACACTTCCAAGTTTCATTTACAACTAACCTCTAGGTGGTGATAGCTACCAGAAGCCTACTTAATGCTTTGGCAGGAGCCAAATAATTCTTGTGGACATATCTGTGTTTACAGTCTCATTCGCTTCTGAGTCAAGTCTCACCTCCTCCGCAAATCTTCCACAGACACTATAGTAAATTTAATAGTCCCCTTCAGTGGGCAGGTGTTGACATATCAAACATTGATAAATTATTGGGAACATAAACGCTCTTTGTAATATTGTTTGAGGGAGGATTTTATACAGTAGCTGTTACTGTAGAGTTGCGTTAGTAGTGTATACATTTTTTTTTTACTAGTATACGAACAGCACAGATGGGAATAATTTCTGATATCGGTGCTACATTTTTCTAATCAGCACAGCTGAATGAGTTACTCTACCTGTAAAATTAGCAGCTGTGGTGAGGCGCTGTTAAGTACAAACGAACACAAAGCATTTGAACTTTCTGTGACGGTAGTCCTTGATTTATAACCACAAATGGAACCAGCATTTCCATGGTTAAGTGAATTGCGCACTGATTTTACAGCCATGATTGGGAAGCGAATCATGTTAGTTGCTAAGCGAAGCACGTGTTTTTTTTTAAGCACCTCTGGCTTCCTCCATTGAATTTGCTTGTTGGAAGCTGGTTGGGAAGATGGCAAATTGTGGTCACATGAATTCAGGACGCTGCAACCATCACAAATACAGGGTGGTTGCCAAGCATCTTTTGATCATATAATGAGGGGATGCTGCCATGGTCATAGGTGTGAGGACTGGTCATAAGTTACTTTTTTCAGTGCTGTTATAACTTCAAATGGCAGATAAATAAATGGTTGTAAGTCAAGGACGATCTGATAATCCAAGTTGAAGTCAGGCGGAAGTTTCAGCACCATGGACAGACCTAGAATTTGCCTTGCTGAGGGCTGGAGATGAACTGTTGTTTCTGGCTGATTCAGCAAAGCGACGTTGAGTTTGATTCTGGCTTCAGTTATTCTTCTTTTTTTTCATATTTTGAGTGGCTCAAGTCTGGTTTGGATTTCAGACGTTTTTTCCTGGCTGTTCTCCTGGGTAGGCTTGATAGGAAGAAATCTTCCGTGGCTCTTGCAGGTCAGCATCAGATGATGATGACGACAACGACGATGATGATGATGATGATAATAAAGTTGGAAGGGACCTTGGAGGTCATCTAGTCCAACCCCCTGCTCAGGCAGGAAACCCTATACCATTTCAGACAAATGGCTGTCCAGTCTCTTCTTAAAAACCTCCAGTGTTGGAGCACCCACCGCTTCTGGAGGCAGGTTGTTCCACTGGTTAATTGTTCTGACTGTTAGGAAGTTTCTCCTTAGTTCTAGGTTGCTTCTCTCCTTGGTTAGTTTCCATCCGTTGCTTCTTGTCCTGCCTTCAGGCGCTTTGGAGAATAGCTTGACTCCTTCTTCCTTGTGGCAGCCCCTGAGATACTGGAAGACTGCTATCCTGTCCCCCCTCGTCCTTCTCTTCATTAAACTAGACATACCCAATTCCAGCAACCGTTCCTTATATGTTTTAGCCTCCAGTCCCCTAATCATCTTTGTTGCTCTTCTCTGTGCTAATGTAGATTGTGCAGTGTTGGTGGTTAAGGTGGTTAAGGCTCCAGCTAGGAACCAGGAGATGGTGAATTCTAGTCCTGCCTTAGGCATGAAAGCTAATTGGGTGACTTTAACCTAATCGCCAGGAGATGCTGAGTTCTAGATCTGCCTTAGGCATGAAAGCTAGTGGATTGATCTTGATCCAATCACTGTTTTTCAGCCTAACTCACTTCTCAGGGTTGTTGTTGTGGGGAAAGTAGTGATAGCAAGAGCACCTAGATTTATATACCGCTTCACAGTGCTTTACAGCCCTCTCTAAGCGGTTTACAGAGTCAGCATATTTGCCCCCAATAATCTGGTTCCTCAATTTACCAACCTCAGAAGGATGGAAGGCTGAGTCCACCTTGAGCCGGTTAGGATCAAACATCTGGCAATGAGCAGAGTCAGCCTGCAATACTGCGCTCTAACCACTGTGCCACCATGGTCAGAGTAGGAGAAGGGAGGTGTATTGGATATGTTCTCTGCCTTGACTTATTTGTAAAAATAATAAAGGTGGGAAATAAAGAAACAAAAATACCACCATCTTGTCCAAATCACTGTGAAGCGTCAGTATCGTTCGTTGGACAGTGGAACCCTAACCATCGCCATTTGGACCATGGTCTTCTGAACTGAAGCAGTGTAGCCTCAGAACAAGTACAATTATCGCGGAGCGTAACACTTAACACCCTTGTAACTCAACCGCGTTCCACAGAATAGCAACTTCTAATTTACAGTTCCGCAAAATGTACCAGAGGCATCTGTGTTTCTGGGAAAGCAGAAATCTATCA